CTCTGTCACTCATCCCTGCACGCTCTGCCACCGGACCCGCTTTTTTGACAGACATGCTCTGCTTCCCAAGACTACCGCACCCTGACCGTCGCAGAGCTCACACAGCAAGCCTTCGACGCGAAGAACATGATGTGCGCCTCGGATCCCCGCCACGGCCGGTGAGGATATGAGCAAAAGGGCAAGGGAGGATGGGGGGGGGGGTGCCTTTGTTTTCTGAAAACAAGGAAGGCTGAAAGCTTTCTGATCTCATTCTCCGCCACCGGATTTATCTTCACCTTTTCCCTCCATGTGTACCCGCTGGTTGCCTCTTGACAGGTATTTGACCTGCGCGTGCATGTTCCGAGGCCAGATCTCCGCGCACGACATGGACGTGCAGATGTCTCAAACCGTCTCCAAGAACAGCGCTGCCTTTGTCGAATGGATTCCCAACAACATCAAAGCCTCCATTTGCAATGTGCCCCCCGTGGGGATGAAGGTCTGTGCGTTCTCTACCCTCCATCTTCCCCCCCCCCCGTGCCGTTATATCCCTGCTCTGAGGTCACCAAGCGTGGATGTGTCCCCGGTTTTTATGGATGTTCTCCGGTCTTCTCCGGCATTTGATCCATCTTCTTGGCGCCTGTGTGAAAGCTTCTTCGTTCGTCATCGTAATTGTCTCCACCCTCCGGTCATTTCTTCGCCCAGATGTCCGCCACCTTTGTCGGGAACAACACGGCCATTCAAAGCGTCTGGAAACGCATTGCCGACCAGTTTGGGCTCATGTTCTCTCGGAAGGCATTCTTGCACTGGTAAGGAGGTGGACTTGGAGGAAAAAGCACGGATGGAGACGTAAGCCAAGTCCGGGGAGAGCCGTGCCGTGGGGATAATGGAAAAGACCCTGAAATCTATCACTTATATTCATGCGCTGCATCCCTATTCTTGCTCCTTGTTACCCCTTCAGGTACACGGGCGAAGGGATGGAGGAATTGGAGTTTACAGAGGCAGACTCCAACCTGCAGGACCTCATTGCCGAATATCAGCAATACCAGGTATGCGCCGATAGGCTCGCTCCCCTACTTCCCGTGTACCCTCGGTATTTTCTTTCCTTCCCTTCTGCCACATTTGCTTCCAGTCGTTGAGCCCTCTCCCTTTTCCCCCGGATAGCACCGCAGTTCCCGATTTATGAACGAGTACCTTTTTCCTCTTATTCCAGGACGCGATGGTAGACGAGGAGGAGATAGAGGCGGACATTTACGGTCATGGCTACACGCTACAAGAGGCGACATAGATGCGTGCAGTGCAAAATGATATATCATGCCTCTCCGTTTCCTCTTCATTGTTCGTCTCCCATGTCCTGCTTCCGTTTTGTTCTTAAGCTTGATGTTTGTGTCGGGCTGTATTTCTTTCATCTTGGTCATATCCAGCTTCGAAATACACACTTTGTATATTAATTTACATGCGGCAGCAAACGAGAAGATGTGTACAAGAAAGAAATGATATCCTTTAAGAAAACAAGTGCGAGAACCCCCAAAACCACGATATAGAACCAATGACGCAGAAAACTCTGCATGCAAATAAAGAGTACTGGCCTCCGTTGTCGTCGAAAGTCGAGGGAGAACCGGTAAAAAAAGAAAAAGTTATGAAAAGAAGAAACAAGAAAAAGGAGAAGAAAAGAGGATCAAATTAATTACATATTTTTCAGGTAAAGAAGATCGATTCCACAGTGCATGTGTGCTCTAACCTGCCCATGGTATGTGTTTGGCAAAGACATACCACGCATCCTACGCGTTCGGTCATTCAGGGGATGAAGTGGAGGTTACTAGAAAGCACAAAGGTAACAAGTGCTGAGATAAAGGGGTCACAATGCTTGATACAATGGCTTGGAACGGATGAATTTTTCAGAATGTATATTTCTTTTGAAGGAAAAGACAAAAATCTGGGTATGTGAAAGCTTTTGTTTCGACTTATATTGCCGAACAAAAATTTAATTTGAACATGTGCACACTTCAATAGCGTGTTTTTGGGCGCTTCTATTTAGTGGCTTCGCATCTATTTGAGAAAAGTCTGACACAGCCACATTCGGCCGCTGACATGGAATTGACCGACCTACGAAACCGTGGGACACGAGGTGCCCCAAAAATCAGGACGACATCGAAGCAACTGGCGAAATGTGGCCTGCACGTATCCGACGAAATTCTGTGCTATATCCATATGGACCGACCCAGGAATGCGATAAGTGATACGAGCAGTGGCAGGGCCTCGGGCCCAACCTGACCTATATGGTTAGTTTCCTTCTCTTCAATTATCACCGTCAAGTAGGGGCTCATCGGTTTGCATGTTACCAGATATGAATTTTTAGATGTTAACACTGGTGTCCAGACTCGACATTCCAACTCGCTTCATTCTTTTCCACCAGCTTTTACGTGAATAGTTACCGTTAATAGTATGCCCGTCGTGGATTGTTCAAAGGGTTCGGTCGGAAACGGTAGGCAAGCATCATCCGCCGTCTGTAATTCTCGAAATCGTCGCCTCCTTCCTCCCCGGCCTCCTCTTCACCACCGCCCCCCACGCCGACTCCCTCCCCTCCTGTCGTCTGCATGTTCACTGGCGCCTTCACACCTGTCTTCCCCTCAGCTCCCAGCCCCTGACCTTCGTTCCATCCCTGCTTCTTCAACAGCTGCATGCCCACATTGGTCTCCGCCTCCAGCCGGTTGGCCGCAAAGTCTCCTTCGTCCCCTCCCTTCCCTGCCCCGCCTTTCCCCGCCGACTGCAAGAGCCGTTCCATCTCCCCGGCAGGGAGGTATTGCGCCACGTGGTGTCGCCCCTTGGAGGCCAGCGTCACGTGCAAGGCGTCCTCGGCCGTCTGGAGCATCTCCTTCGCACGTTTTCGGTGTTCCCAGGTCCCACCGTCTTCCACCCCGCCCGCTGCCCGGCGATTCTCGGCTTCAATGGCACGGATCGCCTCCCCTTCGCTCTGTCCCTTCCCTTCTTTTTCCGCCAACTCCTCGTAGTACAAGGCCCGCTCCTGGAAGAGCTCCACCTCCTTCCCGCCCTCCTTCCCGCCCTCCGCCAAGGCCTTCAGACGGGCCGCCTCCCGGATCTTCTTCTCCAGCGTTTGAATCCTTTTC